TCTCTCTCTCTCTCTCTCTCTCTCTCTCTCTCTCTCTCTCTCTCTCTCTCTCTCTCTCTCCATTCCTCTGTGACTTTCTCCAACTCACCCTTTTCCTTCTCGCCCGGCAAAGGTAAACTACGCCTTCTGGCATTTTGAGGCGATTAATTTGAGAAAACAACGCGAGGGAATTGCAGCGCCGTCGCGCGAGGAGAATCGCGCATCTCGGGGGGAAGGGGACGTGCGATTGACTTCAAAATTTCGTAAAGTCACGGACGAGCGTGCGACAAAAGCCGTGTGCGGCGGTCGCCACGTCAGTGGTGCAACGAAGGTTGGTCGGGGAGGGCGATCGCGACAAAGTTCGACGACGACGGCGACGACGGTAATGGCGACTCAGTGGTGCGACCTCGTGCTTCAGCGGTCCAGAAAAATGTCGCAAAAGGGAGTACGAACGAACGGACGAACGGACGAACGAACGAACGAACGAACGAACGAATGGACGGACGGACGTAGGAGAGGATGAACCGCGAAGGGGCGAAAAAAAGGCGACGACGAAAAAAGTGCCGGAAGGTGTAAGAGATGCCCGCGCGAGACGGACTTCTCTTTCACCCTCTTTGTTGTCCCACGTCACTCGTTCTCTCACCTGGCCTACCTCGACCTCGCGCGCACTTCTCTCTCCCCTCTGCCATTCTCCCCCGCAAAACGAAGACGAGCCGAAAAAGGGCGCCACGCCAGCGGCGGCCCTTTGAAAAATTATCCTCTCAAGTGGAAAGCTTGCATAATACCGTCTACGTGCGACACACAACCACGACACACCGCCGCCTGTTTACTCTTGTTTCCTCGCGCGCGTGCCGACGCGACGACCACGAAGGCAAGCGGCCGTGCGCGACGTGCTGGGGTGGCTCCGAGGTGCAAGAGATCGATGGAGTTCAAGGTGTAGGTGGAGAGGTACGGTGGAAAAAAAAAAAAAACAACCTACAGGAGACTCACGAGGTCTCGGCCCACACGGAGGTGACATTAGTTGCGATTTCTATTAAGAAAAAAATAGAGAAAAAAATCTTGTCTACTGGAGACATCCTCGAGAGGCGCCTCTTCGAGACGCTCTTCCTTCCTTCCTTCTCCCTCTTTCGCCTTCTCGTATTTCTCATTGCCTGACACTTATCTCGCCAACAGGAGTGTTTGATGATTCATCCAGCAGAGCTGGCGCCAAGGATCTTTCTTCTTGATTATTTTCTCTAATTTCGATTATTTTACTTACGACGCGGCGCGGATGCGTCGTTACGCTGGAGGACGAACAAAAACAGCGGCGGATTCGAAGCTATATTATTTCAGCTTTTCTCCCCCACCCCCATGTTTCAGCGAAAAATTCCCGGGGCGCGCACGTCCATCGTCGTTTATACATAAAAAGAGGACAAAAGAGGGGCAGGGGAGAGGGAAGAGGAGCGCCATTTCGCAGTTGTATCTATTTTTCAACGGCGACGGGCAGCGAGGTCGAGGGAATTCGATTGGGCCCGATGTTTATTTTCCAGATAGATATGATACGTTAAATCGAATCGATCCCCGGCCATTTAAAACGGAAACCGTTTCATCGCCGTCCCGTCCCGTACGTCGTCCGTCGCGTCGTCGCGCCGGACACGTGCTCGAATAACCGGCGGGGCTAACGAGCGAGCACAGAGACATTGATTTCCGCGAAACGCCGTCATTTTTCCCGACTCTCGTATTTGCACAGTCCCATCTATCTCTCCCCCTCTCTCCTCCTCTCCCTCGTCCATACGTATATTATGTATATTCGCAAATACACCGACGCCTGAGGGGTGAACGAAAAAAAAAAAAGGAAGGAAAATAAAAGGAGGAAAAAACCACCACAAAAATTCACGCTGGCGCGAAAGTTATTGCGCGCGCGCACACACACGGCGCGGCAATCAGCGACACGGAAAACAGCAACAGAAACTCAGATTACCGTGCGATAGTCGGGCGGGCAAGCGCGCCAGCGCGGGGGAGATCTAGTTTAGCTTTCGGGACCGATGTGCGTGACAATTAAAAAAATTCCCGCGTACGCGCGCCTAACGAATAGCGTGAAAAAAAAACACACACACGCGCGCATACAAGCGAGACGACTGGTGATTTGGCGAAAAGGCGGCTTTTCGGCCGCTGGCTGGACGAGAGAGCGATCGCTCCCGTTAATTTTTCGCGCGAGCGCGAGCGAGCACGCAAAAATCCTCTGCTGACGATCGCGCGCGCGCGGCGGTGTAAAATTTGCCCGTCGCGTGGTGACAAAAAATGTGTGCGCTCGCACACACGTGTATATGTATACTCCGCGTTTGATGGGGCGGAAATATCCGCATTCTGGCCAACGACTGGGAAGCGGCCAATGTGGATCCTCGAATGAATCACAGCGGGAGATTTCGCCCTTGCTCGCGCGAATCCCTTAAGTGACGCGAAGAGGAAGCGATATCTGTCGGGAATCAAAATCGCACAATCTTTTGATCTCTTCCCCCGAATCTCCCCTTTGCGATTAACCGTTGCGGCGCGGGATTATTTTCGGTCTTCCTTCCCGACCGTGGAAAGTCGTCCGCTTCGCGACAATACAGACGTATCACGCGGCTTGCGACTGTAAACGTCAACTTTACGTAGTGCAAGCACTTAACGGGATGCTGAAGCTGAAAACTTTGCCAACTGACATATTTCTACAAAGTTTACGTCGTATCGGTTACACAGAATTACAGATGCTCTTACGCAGTAAAAGTATGTGCAAAAATAGATAGGAGCATTGACGAAATATAAGACGAAAACTAAATTTAAATGTAAAATCTCAAGCTGCCAGTTAACATAATATTTGTCTAATCCAAAAATTCTGTAGTTTGTACACGCCGACAGTATAAATGCTCCAAAATTTTGAAGAAAATTATTGTATCCGAATTCAGAAGCTTAATATCCGAAAAGTTTGCAGAAAAAT